TCCGAAGCGGCGCTCCGGTCTTCGCCGGTACTCTGGCTGGCCGATTCGCCGTCGCTGTTGTCATCCTCGTCGGTGTCTTGCGACTGCCCGCGGGAAGGACCGCTGTCGTCTCCCTCGTTTCCCCCCTCCTCATCCTCCGCATCGTCTGACTTCTCTGGCGTGGAACGGTCGTGTTCCTCCTCTTATTCCGCTTGGGGTGTGCTGTGCCTGTCGTCAGACCCTCCAAGATCGATTGTCTCCACTGGTCTCTCGTTTTTGTAGGATATTCTCTTCTTTGAACTCCGGTGAGTAGTCGCGCTTCTATCATCCCGCGATTTTTTTTCTGGGACCCTCGGCGGACGGTTCTCGGCGCCTCTTCCCCGCTTTCCCCTGACAGGGGTCGAGGGGGGCGACTCGTTACGTTCTTTCAGCGTTGAAATGTCCCGCTTACTCGAAGGGACTGTAACTTTCGACCCGGATTTACGCCTGCGCCTGTGCACCGTTTTCGCGATGAGGCCGGCACCGCTTCTACGATGCTCTTTCGACTCCCTCTTCTCAGCCCCCGATTTCTTCCGGCACTTGTCCTTCTTTCCCGCGGGTTTCAAGGACCTGCACAGATCCTCGTATTTTCGCCTTGGAGCCATCACCCTTTTTTCCCACATGCATCAAAGTGGAATAAGAACCACAAGTGCGTCAGAAATAGAGTTTCTCACGCAGAGAGAGAGAGAGAGAGAGAGAGAGAGAGAGAGAGAGAGAGAGAGAAGAGAGAGAGAGAGAGAGAGAGAGAGAGAGAGAGAGAGATTTGAAATTTCGAAGTCATGCAAGGGAGCAACCTCTTTGTGCGTCAGAGTGACTGCATTTGTATTGTCAGGTGGTAGGAGATCGCATAATCTGGGAACAAAAAAAAAATTCTCAACAGTCACGTCCCCGAATAGTTGCCTCGTCCATCAGAGCGATAAGGTTGGCTACTGCGGGCCAAACATGTCGACACATCCCACATTTCATGTCATTTTGGCCTGCAGTAGTCAACTTTCCTCGCATCGCGTTCGGTGACCTGGAGAACATCTCATTCCTATAAGTGTTGCTCTATCTTCTATTTATTATGCTTCACAACGCTTTGGCTACTTGTGAAGCCGCTAAAGTGCAGTTGCCTTTTGTGACTGCAGCACATGCAGCAAGACGGTCCACCATCGACTCGCGAAATT